TTTTAGTGAAGGGAATAAAAGTCTACAGCAGGGGTCCATGGATGGGTTTCCAGGGGTCCATGAGGATCAAATAAATATCAATATTTATGTTTGTGTGTTTTAGATTGTTTACTTTAAAGTTTAATAACACTTTATGTATGTCATATAAGTATGAAACAATCAAATCTCAAGAAATAAAGTACATTATCCACATTGCATGCACAGTTGTGTTTATGTGAATATTTCTGAGGTAGGGGGTCCATAGAATTCATCAGAATCTTAAAGGGGCCCGTGACCCTAATACTGGTCTACAGAGAGCCAAATGGGAGAGCAAGGCAGCTGAGGAGACAAGTTTTCTTGCAATTCAACAAAGTCATGGCTAAGAAGTGAAGTATGAGCAGATGTATTGCTGTGCAGCATCTAATTTTGTTTCTGCCTCAAGCCTCACCCTCTGTACTACCTCTCTTAAATACCCAAGGACCTCCAAGGAAAAGTCTCCAGAGACCATCTGATCAAAAACTCATACAGAATGGTGCCCTTTCAATAAAATGAAAATTAACATCACCACATTTGGGGAATTCAGGTGTTCCAATCCATCATGACGACTGACTTTATTTTAACATTGTAACTGTTCTCTCTCGCATTTCATCACCCATTATCCTATTCATCAGTGTTTCAAAACTTCAATAATATCAGACAAGAGAAGAGACAGAAGAAAATGGCTATTTGCCCTGCATACTATCCCATAAAATACAATCAAGGATGTGTTCCTGCACTGGGAAAATAATGAGAACATTGCATTGGAAACAAGTCAACAAGTCTGATTGAACTATAAGTACACCAATAAAGATTTTTCTTTTCGCTTGGTTTCTTTCTACAAACACCTTGTATGCACATATCCTTCATCAAAATAGACATAATCACAGCTCTTTCAAGCATAAAATGTTTTCATGAGAAAGAAGTTGTGAAGTCCAATATTGTGAGGTTTGGGAATTGAACAGAGATATTTGCACTACAAAAATTGTTTACATCTACTCACATGCCATGAATTTTACAAACATAGATTCCATATAACCTATTGAGTATTTTGATAATACAACACAAAACTCAAAGTGTAGATTGATACAACTATTAACAAAGGAGTCTGGTAAGGTCTATTATCATGTATATGTTAACAAATTGATTCTCAGGGCCCAATTTCCCTTGGTTTAGATTTAAGAAATCCATGCAATATGACATTTTATTGCTTATTTTTCCATACCCGATTTACTTCCATAAAGACTTCAACACAAAAAATCAACAAGGAGGAAATAAAATGCATACAACTTAATAGCACTGCTTTGTATTAAAGACATCTTACATTAATATTTTTTAACATTGATATTCATGTTCAGGAATATAATTCTGAAAAGTGATTTCCAAATATCAAACACAAGAAAGCATTAACAAAGAAAACAAAGAAAAGAACAGAAGAAATACATACACATTTGAATCATATGTAATTGCCAATATTATAATCCTAAATTTGTTAACAATGATTCACAGCTAATATAATAAATATATATTACTTTGACAAAATTTAGCATTAACAATATACTAAAATCGGCCACTTCTTTTTCTGCCAGTGTATTTTGAGTCGTTACACACTTTCTTGCCTTGGTTCCTCATCCTCTCCTTCTTATTCATGACCCACGAACGTCCCTTAACCGACTTTCCACGAATCTGCTTCATGCGTTCCCTGAGAGAAAGATGGGAAGAATTCAGTATGGGAGCACAATGTATATTTTTACAGAAGCAGTTAGATATAGAACTTGCATGCTTTAGAAACCACATTTTCCCACTTTGTTTGCTGTAGTGTAGGATATCTTTTCCAGCTTGAAAAAACTCTACATGATAAGACATATTGCCAAACCTTTCAATATTTCTCCCTGCTTCAAACTAAAATCCACCTTCTTCAACATATACTATAGTCTAGTGAAAATAAAGATGGAGAAAATGTCATCATTTATAAAATCAAACTACTTTTATACTAAAATCACTATTCATAAAATAATCCAAGGAACCTTTTCTGTGCAAAAATATCATAAAAAAGCAACACTTAACCTTATACAAGACTCTGAAGATAAATCCCTTACCTCCTCTGGAAAAGCGCCTGTGTCTTGCTGGCTCCTTCCTCCTCGAGTCCTTTCGGTAACTGGGCATTTCCTCCAGTCATTAATACAAGATAAATCTTCTTTGCCTGTTGAAGAATAAAATAGATCTAATAATTTGATTGTAAATAAAAAATATTTTTTTACAACTCTACATTTATAACAGGATAAAGTAATAAATGCATAACAAACTGAGTTTTACAACAATATGAACACTAACATAGGATTGGTGATAAAATTAAACTAAGTGGCAAGAATTGTTCAATGTACATTGAAGAAAATATTATCTAATATACACTAACTAAAATTATCAAGAAAAAAATAGATCACCACTGTAAACCATATCATCAACACTGTAACCGTATCACTAAAAAAATTAATTTACCTTGCTTGAATTAGGGAAATCAACCACAAGACCACCTGTAAAACCAGCTCGCATTGCCTGGCTAATGATCAGTTCCACCTGTGCGTCATTCTCTGGGTAAAACTGGAACACTGCGCGGCTTCCTCTGGACTGATGGTAAAATAAATCTTGCTTAATAACCAATCTTTCTTCTTTATAAAACAAATATAAAGGTCAGCAATATCGTCCTCAATATTTTGATTATTTTAATGATAAATTGGAAGATATAGAGTAACATGCTTTTAAAATAAAAGAAGTGATACAAGATAACTCATAGTGGCTATAATACTAATCATTCCTGGGATACACCTACCAGACTTG